AGGCAAACATAGTCCACATGAATCATCACTTCTCATGGGTCATACCCCATCACAAGTCTCTTTACCCATAGGCTCCATTCGTACAACGGGAATCAAACCTGTCAAGGCACTAGTGCATACATTGAAGGTGAGAAATAAACACAATAAAGGGGGGGATTGAATTGGGTTTATGCCTAAATAAAAACTTTTTCTTTTTCTTATCTTCTTCACTTGATGCTTTATGCACTTATATTAAATACATTGCGGAAGCATAAATAATAAAGCATACTGAAAGTAAAGAACACAACATATATCCTGGTTCACTTGAGCAACTCCCAAGCTAATCCAGTCCACCCTTCCAAGGTGATTTCGCCTTAATCAATTAAGGACTTAATCCACTATAACCGAACTGATTACAAATGCACAAGCTAACTGCAAGTGACTAACAACATATCAATGAAACGTTCAGGGATCCCCAAGGATATAACATCCATTAACTTCTAATAGAATCCGATCACTAAAGATATCCTATTAGAAAACCACAAATGACTATTGTCACTTGTCATCTCAAGTATACTGATCTTCACAAGATCACTTGAGGAACCACTAATTCTAAAATAGAATGTTGTGTTGCCGGAGATTACAATTGTGCTTCCTAGCAAGCTAATTACTCCAAGTTAAGCACATAACAAGTAGTGAGTAACAACTCCTTGCTTCCTAATGCATAAACTAATCTAATGATGAATCTTTAAGAGATTATAAGAACACAGTTTCCATCTTGCTTAAAAGCTTTTCTGAGTGTGAGCACTAAGGCTTCTTTTCATTTAAGCTTTTCTTCTTTCTTTCTTTCTTCACTTCATGCTACTAGCATGGTAACATTTGAATGAATCAAATGTTATTTCTTATAGTGCAGCTTAACAGCAACAACGTTGCTTGACTCAACCATCCAGCCACTCAACAACATTTTTGATCAAATGATTCTTCGTTTTATATTTCAGCCAATAGAGTTGTTGTGAGGATATAGTTGTCCTTTCTCATTCCAACGGTCATATCCCAACGAATAGAATAAGCTCATGTGTTGGAACAGTGACCTTAGCTTGTAGCTTCAATATATTTAATCCTTGGAAACTACGCTTGAACAGTACCAACGTTTTTACCACATTTGAATAATTGCATACGTTGTACTTCAATCTTCTTGATTCTTCTGATGATTCATCTGATGAGTAGTTCATAACTACTTTGGTATGAAAGCTTCAGCATCAGAGTTGTTAACTCAAGCACATGTTTATCAAATTGAACAGCACCAGCTTATCTGATGTAACACGTCTTGCATCTGGATGAATATTCTTCTGACACAATCTTCCACTTCAGAATCCAGTCTTCAGCATTCCAAGAACTAAGTTTCCTCTGAAACAATCTTGAGAATCTTCATGACTAATTCTTCAGAAATCATGTCTTCAGAATCTTCAGAGCCTTGACCTTCAGAACACTTCTTCAGAGTCTTGACCTTCAGAACACTTCTTCAAAGTCTTGACCTTCAGAACCTGTCTTCAGAGTCTTGACCTCAGAATCCATCTTCAGAGTCTTCAGAGTCTTCAGCCTTCAGAACTTAAAGTCATCAGAGTCTTCAGAGTATTTAGAACTTTGTTCTTCAGAGGACTCACTCTTCAGAGACGCTCGTTAGCTTCCAGATCAGATGCATAACTCAGAGCAGAATCTTTAGATGCATTGCAACTGCAATATCCAACATCCTTGATTCTTGACTGAACATGATCAGATGTAGAAACAAACTTGCTTCTACACTGAGCTTCATTTGCTTTCAGATCAGATGCACTTCTTCAGAACAGAAACCACAGGAGCATTGCAACTGCAATATCCAGCACCCTTGGTTCTTTACTGATGGTGATCAGATACATAAGCAAACTAGCTTCTCACAAGCGCTTCATGACGTCACACTAAGTAATTCCATAAGTTACTAGCTGCACACGTTGCTTCTGTTTGTTTGGTCTAATATATTTAATTTAATATGACCTGTACATAACAAACATTAAACCATAAAATGGTTCTTTCACAAATACTCAATTGTTATCATCAAAACATAGAGATAATCCTGTAGAGACAAATCTTGCTCTTACATACATTCTAGAGGAGCTCTCTATATAAGCCTCCACTCTTGGAATGGTACAACTCAAAGGATTGGTTTCGACTATGTGATCTCACAGACAAGCGTGATTGTATTCGACAATCACAAGGCCACATACACCTTATTCTCAAAGTAACACAAAACCAACCCATGTTCCATATAATGTCTCAACTTTCCACTAGACAACTACTTGTTAAGGATGCACACCTAGGCATCAAATGCACAAACATTACCATCTAAGTTATATATCAACTCCTAGTTACATCCCTAGGTCATTCTATGGGATTGTGATAAGTTTTCCTCACTTTTCTTAATTCTTTTTAATCATATAACCATCATTTTAATCAATCCACCATCCACAAATCCACATGCATATTACCCATAATAACCAGTGTAAGCAAGATATATTAACCATGCACATGCATAGGAAATAACGAAACAAGCATCAAAACAAAATATGGAAAACTCTGCCATGTTTGCAGTGCGAAGGCCAGACGAGACCCTTCGCTTTGAGTTCCCTGTGTGAACTCTGAGCGAGGCTGGAAAAAATATGGCAGTAGCAAAAGTCCTTGTTTCTCGTTGTGTGAACCTTGGGCGAATGTTTGCCTTCATCTCGCGTTCACCTCGCAGTGCGAGCATGATAGACCGTCATGTCCGCTTGCAGTTTGCTAGAGCTCACAATGCAAACCATGTGATTTAGAATTTTCCACCTGCATAAGTTGTTCAAAACAAAGGGGTTTTAAACCCCATTCCTCATAAGGTTCATATATGTCAACACAAACACAAACGCAACATTTAAAACTATAATTTCACATCAATATCAGGAATATAACATGAATCATATATCTTTCATAGAAATGGAACAAGAACACCATAACCTAACTTTTCCATTCTATCAAAATACTCTAACCTTGAGTTTCTAACTAGAATTCACCTCTAACACAAGATGAAGAAGTTTTTGATGATGAAAATGAGATTATTTGATGAAGAAATGATGAAGTTCCAAGCTTTTCTTCCTCTAGGGATTCCTTCTTCTTTTTTCTCTTCTTTCTCCTCCTTCTCTCTACCTTTTTACTATCTTTCTCTCTATGTTGCCCAAGTGAAAGGAAAAGAGAAGGACAATGATATATGGAAAATATCATTAAAGTTAGTAAGACTAACTTGGTTAAATGTTCAAAATTGAGGGTATCCAAAATGTCTATAAAGTACCAATTAATAAAATCTCAGAGTCAGATAATACTAATTAAATCAATTTTGAGCTCATCAGTTACTCTAATTATGTCAACATATAATTCTAGAGCACACCGAAATCCAGTTGATCTCAACTAATATTATCTAGAGCATTTTATCAAATATTGGGTATTACATTCCATGAACATACTAAGCACATTGAAATAGATTGTCAGATTATCAGAGAGAAGATTGAAAGACTCTATTGCTCGTGTTTCTCATACTTTTCATTGCACAAACAAGCGACATTCTTACAAAGCCTTTACATAGTCATCATTCCATAAACAAACGACATTCTTACAAAGGCTTTACTTAGTCATCATTCCATACTTCCATATTCAAGTTTGGCCTTCATGACATTCATAATCCAATTTGCAGAGGAGTATTAGTTACTTATATTAATAGAGGTATTTGTGGTGCAGTTTGTTTCAGTTTTAAAGCAAAAATTCATCTGATCCAAAAATAAAACTACTTATTATATTTAAGTTTTGAATGATTAGTTTAAAAAATTCAAAATGATCCTATTTTATGTGATTTAATTTAGTTTAATTTTTAAATATCTAAATTATAAATTATTGTTTTTTATATTAATATTTATATTATAAAAATAATAAAATAACATATTTAATGTAACATATATTATATATTATACTAAAAATTAATATTATAAAAGGAGAACGAACAATTATGTTTAAGACAAATGAAATAGTAAAAAAAGATTAATATAACTTAATAAATAACATTAATATAAATTAAATATCAACAAATAATAAATTAATATAATATATATTATAGTAGCATAAATAAATTAGTATTAAAATGTATACATACATTTTGGTTCAATTTAGATCACTTTTTAAAAATTAATTCAACCACATCTAATAATTTCTTTAAATGATTTGCAATATTTATTTAGATCGGTTAATATTTCAAACAAATTACTCTAATTTATAATTAATTTTAATTAATGAAATGAGTAATGTAAGTATCAACGATTATGTTACTTATTTAATAGAATAATTAATAATAATCCCATTATTTTATTTTGGATATAAAGAAACTCTAACATATATTTTATTTCTCAATTAAAATGAATAATAGGTTATCAATTGATTTTTGGAGAAAACTTACTTACAATTTTTTAAGTAATTTATGACACGTTTACTTAAATGTCATTTAAAAAGTGAAAGGAAGAAAATTGTGTATGTATAGAAAGAAATTATATATTTGTCATTTTTTATTAAAATAGTAAAATTCACATCTAAAAACTTATATAAAATTTTTCTACTTAATTTTTTTCTAATGTTTTTCTACTACAGTGATTGAATGGAGCACAATAAAATAGTATAAATCAATGTTCCATTGTTTCAATATATGAATTTTATTACGTTCCATCATTATCATTATCATGATATATAATTTAGACGGAATGAGAATTTTTCTTACTCAGTTTTAAAATATGAAAACAATAAAATGAAATCTTCAAAATAGGATCGTAAAATATTTTTACAATGTTAGAGTGTTTATCATATCTTATTAAATTAATTTTTTAAAATTCAGAAATTTAATATATTTAAATCTCATATCAAGTTACTGTTACAAGACCTCACAATACGTTTTTGTTTTACCACACATCCAAATTTTAAATATGAAGAAGCTATATCATCATTTATCTTTCATTTTCATGAATGTTCCCAACCTCAACAAACACCCAAACTATATCATACATGGTTTCCCATTTCTCAATAATATCAGGATCAGGTTAACCTCCACTGTCACTCTTAGCTTGGAAATGAAGCGCTGCAATTTCTTCATCTCAAAGCTATGTAAGGAAGGAAAGATCATCGAAGCACGCAAGGTGTTTGATGAAATGTCTGAAAGGGATGTTTGTTTGTGGACTACAATGATAAGCGGATATATCAAAGGTGGCATGATTAAGGAAGCTAGGAAGCTGTTTGATAGATCGGATGCGGAGAAGAGTGTGATTGTTTGGACTGCTATGGTTAGTGGGTATGTTAAGATGAATCAAATTGAGGAAGCTGAGAGGTTGTTTTATGAGATGCCGATTAAGAATGTTGTGTCTTGGAATACAATGATTGATGGGTATGCGCGGAATGGTCGGACTGAACAGGCTTTGGATTTGTTTAGAAGAATGCCGGAGAGGAATGTGGTTTCTTGGAATACGATAATGACGGCCTTGGCGCATTCGGGGAGGATTGATGATGCGCAAAGGCTTTTTGATAAGATGCGGGAAAGGGATGTGGTTTCGTGGACTACTATGGTTGCGGGCTTGTCGAAGAATGGGAGAATTGATGATGCTCGGGAACTTTTTGATAGAATGCCGGTTCGTAATGTGGTTTCTTGGAATGCAATGATTGCGGGTTATGCGCAGAATGGGAGGTTGGATGAGGCTTTAAAGTTGTTTGAGAGGATGCCTCAGAGGGATATGCCTTCGTGGAATACAATGGTTACGGGTTTCATTCAAAATGGGGACTTGACTAGGGCAGAGAAGTTATTTGATGCAATGCCACAAAAGAATATCATTACTTGGACTGCTATGATGACAGGTTACGTACAACATGGTCTGAGTGAAGAAGCATTGAAAACATTTAACAAAATGCAAGCTAATGATGGATTAAAACCAGCCACCGGAACTTTTGTGACTGTTTTAGGTGCTTGTAGTGACTTGGCAGGTCTTATCGAAGGACAACAAATCCATCAAATGATTAGTAAAACAGTTTTTCAGGAGAGCACACAAGTGGTATCAGCGCTGATAAATATGTACTCAAAATGTGGGAAGTTGCATGTTGCTAGGAAGATGTTTGACGATGGATTATCCGGGCACATGGATTTGATATCTTGGAATGGTATGATTGCCGCCTATGCACACCATGGATATGGAAATGAAGCAATAAATCTATTCAATAAAATGCAAGAATTGGGTTTCCAAGCCAATGATGTCACCTTTGTTGGACTTCTCACAGCTTGTAGTCATGCTGGTTTAGTTGACGAGGGACTTAAATACTTTGATGAGCTTTTCAAAAACCGATATATACAAGTAAGAGAAGATCACTATACTTGTCTAATTGATCTTTGTGGTCGTGCGGGAAGGCTGAAAGAAGCTTTCAATATCATTGAAGGACTTGGGAAAGAGGCATCATTATCTGTTTGGGGTGCACTCCTAGCTGGATGTAACATGCATGGGAACACTGATATTGGGAAACTCGTAGCTGATAAAGTTTTGAAAATCGAACCAGAAAATGCAGGCACCTATTCATTACTCTCAAATATGTATGCTTCTGTAGGGAAGTGGAAAGAAGCTGCCAATGTTAGAATGAAGATGAAAGACAAAGGGTTAAAGAAGCAGCCAGGTTGTAGTTGGATTGAAGTTGGAAATACAGTGCAAGTATTTGTAGTTGGTGATAAATCACATTCTCAATCTGAGGATCTAGGATATTTACTTCTTGACTTACATACAAAAATGAAGAAGGCCGAGGACATGCCAGATGATGATTTGTTGGTTGATGTGGAAATTTAATAGTATAAAGTATGAATCCTTGTTGGTTATAGCTTGGATTATGCAATGGAGTTGAAATGTGGCTAAGTTTACTACCGCTTCTGGTACATAACACATTTAATTTTCTGACTAAAGTCATTGATTTTAAGTCTACTCTGGCCTCTTTCCCCTCCCAAACAAACTAATTAATGTATAAACTGTTTTTTGATAGGCAAATGTTAATAGTTAGTTTGTTCGGAAGAGGGGGGATGCTAGTAGCAGAGATTTAAACCCTGGACTTTCTTGCATATAGTTCCTTCAGTATCACGACCCAAACCACTGAGCTACTCCTTCGGGGACATTAAACTGTTATTTAAATTACTGAAGAGTAGCTTATGTCTTCGATGTTTCTGTTCAGGTGATCACAGACATAAAGAAAACTGAAAGAATAACCGGCTTTTCAAATTTTCAGTCTCAGTTTAGTATTTTAATTCTGAGATTGTTACAGTATTATATTGTACTGTGTTTGTTTAATTGCAAAATAAAAAAGAAACTTCCTTATGAGATTTTGCATCTGAAGTGGGAATATGTTATCATTTAATAGTACTGACTACTGAGTCTAAGAATTTATGTTTTTGCAGAGTAATTTCAAGTGAAAATATTTACTACTTTTTGATTGCTTGGTGGCTTTGCGTGAGATAATATGATGTAGGAACAAGCAAATAGTTCGGAATTTAAAGGCTTCATTGGCATACTCATACACCTGGTCTTGTAGTTGTTGCCAAAAATGTGCTTTGTTAGATGAAACGACTGTGCTATTGAATCAGTTTATGGAAAGCACAGGTTGTTTCTAAGTGGGCTGATTTCAAGCAAAACATTTGAAGATGCAACACCCTCTTGTCCTGTCCATTGCATTTTGTAAGTGTATTTACCGTTATGCATTTGGCTTCAGAAGTTTGGAATCACTAAAATACATAATATTGCTAATTATAAGAGATGCTAGCATGTTTTTATTGGTTGAGTTGCAAAAAACTTTTATGAGAGTCGGATCTGATATTCGAAATCCATTTTATCAACTATCTAATCAATCGTTGATTCCTTGCAAGGTTTTTGATAATACTTTATTTTGTCTCAGGAAGGATATTTGTTGATAGTTGTTTTTCTTCTGCTTTTTTCATCTTAATTGTACACAGTTGCCAGCAGCTATCCCCCTTTCGGCCTGGAACAAGTTCATCTCAATTGAGCCACTTTGTTTCGAAACAGATCAGGTGCGAATCATCACTGCTGAGGGAGGGAATGATCTAGATAAACTAAGGGTAATGTGTGAGTTGGGTCACATTCTAACCCTACTTGATTAGACCAATAATAATTCTCGTAAGTGGGAGAAAGGAATTAAAAAGTGGGTTGCCTTAATTTCTATTTCAAGTGAACCTCTCCAATTTAATTGGGCTCATGGACCAATGGTTCCTTTTGAGGGTACTTGGTGTGTGAAGGGCATCGTGGCGGGTAAGGGAGTCCAAGCAACACAACCCTTATTGTTAGAAACAGTGTAAAGTTGAAGAAGGGTGATGGGATTCATGAGGCAAAACTGTTTGATGCAAATGAACTCAGCTTAAGTGCAGTCGCTGGGTTTGGAATTGAGGGTCTACTTGCCATTCTCAATCACCAATTTGCTGCAGAAAGTGATAATATCCGTGCACAGCAGTGGGTGGGAAAGACATTTTCCATAACTTCCAATGAAGCACGGACACAATATGGGTATTCTGAACCGCTCACAAATATTCTGATCCCATTTGGATGACTGAAACTGATAATTGTCACTCAAAGGTAGTAAGTGTGAGTTTCCAACAGTGGAACTCCGGGAATAATTGTCTTATTCTGAACTACTCCTGCACAAGAAGAGCTTTTGGGAGAACTCTGTTAGTTGGCACAAGAGGCATTCAAGCTTCAAGAGTTTGAATTGCAGTGGCACTTTGCTATTGTCCTAGTTGCTGCCTTTTGGTGCGTTGTATCAGTAGTTGTCTTGCTGAAATTGTTCATGTCCAATTCCTTTGGGGACTCGCGAGCTGCTCAGTCATGACATGATAAAATGTATTCAAGTCATTTTTCTTATCTTAGCCATGAGGACAATGCTATTTTTCTAGCTGCCGGTAGTGATAGGACATTGGTTTTGGGCCTTAGTCCATTAGAGAGACTGAATAGGAAAATAGGACTGACGTGACAATAATCTGGTAGCAAGGAAAACACTATAAGAGTTAAAAGAGGGGAGAGTGGGGATCATTGAGACTTATGTTAAGAAATTGTTTAGCTGAGACAATCTCTCAGGTAGGAGGAGTGTTGACGCTGGGCTGTTTTCTGTTTCTTCATTGTAGAGCTTTTGAGCTCACACTTATATCAAATAATATTCACTTTCGTTTTAATTGAAATTCTGGGTTATATTATAATATTATTCATTAATTTTGGAAGAATTGCGACATAATAACTAATATGGAAATGTTTTGGTGCCTGGAGTTCATAAATCACTTTTCTTCCTTTTCATTTTACATCTTATGACTTATCCTTTTTCTTTTGAATAAAATAGGGTTATTGTGAGGTCCAACCTTGCACCTCTGGATTTTGGAGTTCTTCATATCTAAAGAAGCCACATGGCAATGTGAGAATAGGTTCAGGTAATGCAGCCAGTTCTCATGCCACTAACATATTCTTAGTCGTGGAGAAGTTTCGGACTAGATTCTACATTGCAGGACAATGGGGGAAAACAAAAGTGCTTTGGGGTTTGTCCATATTAGAATAGAATATTCTACTGTTTTGTCTAATTCTATTGTTTGTCTTATTCTCTTATTGTGTGCTATCTGTTTGTTAGGGCAAAGCTGTAAGTTTGTTAGTGAGTTGTGCCATCTTTGATAACAAACTATCCCAGTTATATATAGCTACTGATTGTATTCTATTTTGCTAAGAATGAAATACAAATCAGATTCTTCTCTCTCTTTCTATTATCTTAACATGGTATCTTGAGCCTTTTTCTTTCCCGTGCTCCCATGACTTCTCCTTTCAATTCTGAGGTTGTTTTTCCCTCTTCTCACATCAAACTTTCTCACCTCATCTCTGTCAAGCTTGATGAAAGAAACTTCAAGCAATGGAAACAGCAGATTGAGGGTGTGATTCGCGGCCACAAACTGCAACGGTTTGTTACGACGCCACTTGTTCCTCCGCGCTTCCTTCCCGGCGCAGATCCGGTCACCGGTGGTGCGAATCCCTTGTATCTTGACTGGGAACAGCAAGATGCACTTATCTGTACTTGGCTCCTCTCCACTATCTCTGACTCCATTCTTCCGAAACTGGTCGATTGCACGTACTCATGGCAAGTGTGGTCTGAAGTTCAACGTTACTTCAACACCTTGCTCACTACCAAGGCGCGTCAACTTCGATCGGAGCTCCGAAATCTCACCAAAGGTTCGCGCACGATAACAGAATTCACGATTCGTGTTCGTGACATCAGCGAATCTCTGGTATCTATTGGCGACCCTGTTCCTCAGCAGAATCTCATTGAAATCGTTCTCGATGCTCTTCCTGAAGCGTATGATCCTATTGTTGCTGCGATGAACAGCAAAGAGGATCTCAGTATGATTGAAGAGCTTGAATCGAGTCTCCTTGCTCATGAATCGCGTCTGGAGAAGAATCGTAAAGCTGTTGTCACTGAACCTGTTTCAGTGAATCTTGCTCAAGCACCACCATCTTCTCAATCTTTCTCTACTGATGCTTCTGGTGCAGATACTGCCTCAACCTTTCCGGTTGGTACTAGCCATGTTAACGCCACTGCTGACAATCATGGTGGTAGGTCTGGTCGTGGTGGTAGGTCTGGTCGTGGTGGTGGAAGATTTGGACGTGGAGGTGGCAGATCTGGTAAAGTTTCTTGTCAAATCTGCCACAAACCTGGTCATGATGCATCAATATGTTATCATAGGTACTCATCTTCAGATGCTCCGTCCTACCCTTCACCAAGAACTCCTTTCAATCCTTTCATGATGATGCCACGCTCACCATATCCTCCTTCTGCTTTTGGTTATGCTCTTGCTCCAAGGCCTACACCACCAAGGCAGCCTCAACCTCAAGCTTTCTTAGCAGGTTCTGATCCCAGCTTCAACAACCAATGGTGGTATCCAGATTTAGGTGTTTCGCATCATGTCACGCCTGAGATTTCAAATTTGTCTGATGCTTGTTCACTGCCTGGAACTGAACAAGTGTTCATGTGGAATGGTCAAGGTTTGTTTATTGATTTTGTAGGTTCCATGAGTTTTCCTTCCTCTAATCCCTCTAATTCATCATTAATCTTGCATAATCTTCTTGTTCCTCATATAACTAAGAATCTCATCAGTGTCAGCAAATTTGCTCAGGATAATCGTGTCTATTTTGAATTCCATCCTCAATTTTGTGTTGTAAAATCGCAGGATACTTCTGAAATTCTTCTTCATGGCACTGTTGGAGCTGATGGACTCTACAGATTTGCCAAGCCTATTGCCTCTCTATCCAAGTCTATTAGTTCTAGTTCTAAGTCTCCTAGTTCTAATTTCTGTTCTAGATTTAGTTATCCTTGTAATCCTGTTGCTACTAGCAACCATCTTTCCTATTGTAATGATGATTTTCACAATAATAAAACTGCATCTAACTCTACTTTCAATTCTCCTGCTGTACATTTAACTTCTGCTCCTAATTCCTACTCTAATTCTGCCATGTCTAACTCTGCCACTATATCAAATAGCAAGTATGCTCTATGGCATACTAGGCTTGGTCACCCTCACCATCATGCACTTCTTGAGGTTCTCAAACTCTGTCAAATTCCTATCCCTCAAAAGCCTCCCACTGACCTATGTTCTGCTTGCTGTTTAGGCAAGTCTCACAGACTGCCATCAACACTGTCCACTACTATTTTCACTTGTCCCTTTGAACTCGTTGTATGTGATCTTTGGGGCCCTGCACCCATGGTCTCCTCAGGAGGTTACTCTTATTTCTTAACCTGTGTTGATGCTTTCTCAAGATTTGTT